AATTTGAAGATTTGTTTCGCGTTGAGCCAGTGGTCTGCGGACTGACAAATTTGAGTGAAAGTCGCTCTCTCGGTTACTTCAATAACTGACTTACTTCAATAATTCACGCGTAGACTTCCAAGGTTGAGCGCAGAACAAAACCATATATGGCTCCATAAATAGACATTCCCTGGTTTTAAGTCGCGGTGTACCACATTCCTTGAAGCGGGAGAGTACAAAACCTGGACCTTGGGTACATGGACCCCTTTCATGTCTTATGTCTTCTTAAATTTCTTCAATTGTCACTCACCAAAAGCTCTATTTTGGAGCGCGAATCTTGCATGAATAATTTCATCTTCCACCGCCGGCTCGACAGCTCAGTCTCAGGACAAAGCGTAGGTCGATCGAAGTAGGTCGATCGGTAATGTCGGAAAAATCAGCAGATTTTAAACACAGTATTTAGTCTAGTTCCCTAAGCCGCTGCAAAAAACATACCCGTCATAACAACGTAATAAACGTCGGCTACATCCACTGGCGGCCCAAGCTCTCTTTAAGAACCACACAAGGAACACAATTTGCATATCGATTTATAAGGATTTGTATGGGATTTTCTACAAGATCAGTCCCGGCATGGAGATAGTTAAAAAGTGAAAATATTAAATAAAAATGGCTTACCTTATTCCATACGTGTGTTGTTTGCTCCTGGTGTCATTATTTTTACCGATTTAACTTGATTTAAACTTATTTTGAAGGGCTGTTAAGTGTAACGGGACGCGGGAAAAATTAACGGCTGCTAACCCTATTGGAAATGCCCAAAAGTTTAGGACTTTTAGCTGTTACCCGTAAATGCCCAATTAGCCTCCCTAATAAATGAGAGTCTGTTTTGAGGGTATCCCAGGGGGGGGGGGTCCTTGTTCCCTTGTTCCCTTCCAAAATTGTCCTATGTTCTCATGTTCCCACACTGTTTCCTTAGTTGTTCCCCGTTTAATAAATTTGTTTGGCACTTATCACCGCCCTCAATTCCCTCCCGCAAAAAAGAAAGACACCAAAAACAAAACTTATAAAAGAATAGAATACATTTAATGAGACGTTCAATTTGTGTGACATCATCTCGAACAACTGCGTGAAATTCACAATCCATCAGAGTGGGATGAGCTGTAGAACTAACCTTAATTCTCCTGATCAATCATCATAATACATAAACTCGTCCAAATTCGCCCTCTTCCTTGCTCGACGTGATCTTCTTAATGTGGTATCTGATTGTTCTTGGTCTTCCCCTAGACATTCCCTGGCTTCTTCGATGGTGACTGATTCTACATGACCGATCATGTGAGATTGATAATTTATAAATTCGTTCTCAGTCATTTCAATAATTTTTCATTAACAATGTTTTCTTTCAAAGAACCGTATATGTCCTCAACACTGATTTCCCTTTCCGCCTCTTCTGTGAAAGTTAATGGATCAAACACATCGGCACCAAAGCACCCAGGGTGCATTCCGCATAGACCCTACGCCGAAGTTACGCCGAGGGCTTTGAAAACGTACGCCGAGTAGGCCTCAATTTTACGCCGTTGGTAGCATACTTCGCCAATAATTGCCGCCGGGGCCAGATCTTTTGCCGCCGCGCCGCCGCTAAGAGAGGCGGGTAAGAGAAATCCTGGAGACTAGTTTGTTGAAGGGATGTCCATGCTCGCTATCAGGAGCAAAAGCATTTACTTTTCATCGTTATGTGTTCAGTGATGGTGCTTTATTTTCT